ATACCTGTTCGAAAATTCACGAGTACAACTCGATTCTCCGAAGATCTTATTTCTTTTCATCACATCATCCCGGAATGCAACTTAATTAAATATTTATTTATACTATTTGAGACTTTTATACGCTCTACTTTTTAAATCATTTTTGTCTTTCTCTTGCAAGGCCTCACCCATTTAATTTTTATTACCATCTGCCCCCTATTAAAGAGGGATGGGGTTTTCGCGTGCCGTTTGAGAACCTGCATTGAACTGCTACCAATTTTTCTTTTAAGGAGTTGTCAGCTACTAGCTTCCTTCTTTCTTTCAACAAAAACATTTTTATTGACAAACGAGCGAAAGCCGGGCAACTCCCCCATCCGGCTAAATTGAATGCCAGGCGGAATAGGCAGACAATAGCTGCTCGTGGATTGCCTCTTAAATTAAGTGTTTCTCGCATAGTGGTTGCTTATTTAACTATCATATTCGCTTACTGCTTAACGAAATTAACGCCAAGAACACGCTTTTAGCAGGACCTAAATGAAAAGCTTATCACTAGAAAAAGCGAAGATAGCAGAACATTAAGACAGCCACATTGCCTCACACCATATAGCATACATTCACAGTAAGAGCTTATAGCCCTAACTATGTAAGGGTTACATTGTCCGATAGGAGCCTGGTGCCTCTTAACTGTGTTTGCCTCATTGAATGTATCTGCCTGCGGAGAAAAAGACGAGCCCATAAATTTTATCTACCGGATAATGGCATTCGAAACACTACTTGATTTAAACTAGTGTATAAACGCCCCGAAAGTTGACATGCGTTAGTCCATATCGAGGTTTTTCTCATTTTCGCGAAAACCTACTCTTTCTTCGAGCTTTCCTCTTGAAACAGTAGCAAACGGAGGTTTTGTGTGTGTATATGCTGGATATTGCCCCCAGTGCTGCCCTATTCGTCATTTGATAAAAAAGGTCTTAAAATCAGCTAAGTACAATGTGCGTGTCCATTCCCAAGAAGAGCATTACTTGTTTGGAATTAAGTGGTGGATTGGAGCCCCGTATTTTAGCTTAGCCAATCAGCTTGCACCCGCGGAATCCCAGTCATTGACAGCCTTTTTCACTCGAGTGAAGAAGATGAAGAAAAAGATAAGAGGAGATGGAACGAATTATATTGAGATTGACGTTGCGGACACTCGCTCAGTTCCATCGTCAGAGTACTTAGGTGATTGTTCCTGTTTGTCGTGACTGTTTCAGCCTTGCCGTATGTCTGGTATTATATCCGTGCTCGACGCACGAACTGTGACCTGCTGACTGTCCGTGAGATTGAGCTCTGGTGGGCTCGTGTGATCTTTGTCCCCCTTTGCGGCTGTCGTAATTGTTGGCAAGCC